TTATTTCTCGCTTTCTGTCTCTGTCTCTCTCTGTCTTTCTGGCAAGCGCACACACCCTACAGCAAAACCTCTCCAAAAAAAAAAAGAAAGAAAGAAAGAAAGAAAGAAAGAACGAACGAACTAGAGAAATTACAGCAAGCAATCGAAAAGTAGGTGTCATGGGGATGGCCAAGTAAGAAAGGGACCTGGAGGGAACCAGCAGTTAGCGTAATGGCTATGTCACTGGACTCCCATGTAGTTGACTGTGGTTTGCATCCCGGACCCGGTGGCTTAAAACTCATGCCAGGTGCGTGTGCGTGCATGCCCAAGATCCCAAGAGGAGAATGGAGGAGAAGGGATTGCGGTGTGACCATCCCCCCTGGGGGGTGATTTCTCACTTTCTGTCTCTATGTCTCTCTCTGTCTGGCAAGTGCACGCGCCCTATAGCGAAAAAAACCTCTCCAAAAAAAAAAAGGGACCTGGATTGGAGTAGTGGAGGAGACTGTCTCCTTGGGGTGAATCAGGGCAGACAATAAGAACAGCAGGAGTGTCCCAGGGCTCCTTTCCTTCTTCACTCTCTGCCCATCCTGTGGGAGTCTGAGCAGAGCAACCATCGCAATCGGAGATGGGGGCTCAGAAGAAGTTAAATATCTGCCTCAGATCAGATGACTAATAAGTGCCTTTATTATCTCATACTCTGCCTTCTCTTTTGTTATAAGGAAAAAAGTCTCCCGTATGGGCCAGCCAGTGGGCTGGTGGTTACAGAAACTGGACAGTTTGAGTCCCAGACCCGGGAGTTGGACGAATATGCTGGGTGCACATGCACGCACACCCAACATTTCAAAAGGGAGGAGAAACAGGGAACCAGCAGTTAGCGTAATGGCTATGTCGCTGGACTCCCACGTAGTCAACCGTGGTTTGCGTCCTGGACCCGGTGGCTTAAAACTCACGCCGGGCACGTGTGCGTGCGTGCCCAAGATCCCGAGAGGAGAATGGAGGAGAAGGGATTGCGGCGTGACCATCCCCTCTGGGGGGTGATTTCTCGCTTTCTGTCTCTATGTCTCTCTCTGTCTGTCTGGCGAGTGCACGCGCCCTATAGCGAAAACCTCTGAAAAAAAAAAAAGAAGAAAAAAAAAGGGAGGAGAAACAGAGAAGGGGTAACAGCGTGACCATTTCCCATGGAGGTGCTGTCTCTCTTTCCTGCTCTCTCTCTCTCTCTCTCTCTCTCTCTCTTAATCTCTCCCACTCATAAGTCCATGCATTCTCTGGCAAATTAAAAAAAAGAAAAAGTTAAAGAAAAAAACAGATCCCTGCTTGAATCTAAGGCAAGTTGTTTGTTGGACTCTAGGTCTAGTCTTCCCTGACCTTCTCAAGGTGTCTCCTCTCACGTATTCCCTTATTTCTTCTTATCAATCAGATAGAATAGGCCTCTCATGTTTAGAACACATGATTCTAGTTTTGGGGAGCGTATGTCACTAAGTACTTCAAATATCTGTAACTTGACCTCTGAGTAGATGATAAATTCCTGTAAGGCAGGTGTTCAAATTTACAGCTTTTTCTGTTTCCCGGGGTCCTGACTAGTATTTTAGAGAACAGAGTGAATGAATGCACAAGTGAAGGCATGAACGAACTCAATCATTGTATAAGTTACCTGAATTTGACCTGCTTGGAGGTAATGGTACACAATCCATTTGCAGGGACTGCATTTTCTTCACAATTGCATTTTGGTCTGGATACTTGTCCTATAAAGAACATAAATGCACAGTTTAGCAAAAGGAATTCAGCCACAGAAAAATGATTATGAGAAGAATGAATCCTTTCAGGAGAAATTTCAAAATTTCACAAAGATCTTACAAGCAGTAAACAGTAAAAAATACAGAGAGAGGTGTGTGTGTGTATGTATGTGTGTGTGTATATATATATGTATGTATATTTTTTTTTCTCCAAATGGTCAAAATAATCTTTCAAAAAAAAAAAAAAAAGAACTAAGTTAGAAGACTCAGGGCCGGCAGTTACAGCACTGGACTCCCACATGGCTAACTGTGGTTCAAGTCCTGGATCCGGAGGCTTGATATTCACATGCGTGTGTGTATGCCCCAAATCCCAGGAGGACCAGGAGGACAATGTAGAAGGGATTGTGGAGTGGCCACCCCCTGGGGGATGATTTCTCACTTTTCCCTCTCGCTGCTTTTCTCTCTCTCTCCAGTGAGCACATATGCCCTATGGCAAAGACCTTAAAAAAAAAAAAAAGAGTTAGACTCACACTTCCTGATTCTGAAACTTATTACAAAACTACAATAATCAAGAAATAGTGCAGTTGGTACTAGCATAAAGACAGATCATAGACCAAGGGAATAGAACAGTGTCCACAAATAAACCCATGTATAAATGGTCATTTGATTTTTTTTTTCTTTTTTTTGGAGGGGTTTTTGCTATAGGGCGCATGCGCTCACCAGAAAGACAGAGAGAGACAGAGAGACAGAAAGAGAGAAATCATTCCCCAGGGAGGATGGCCACGCTGCAATCCCTTCTGTTCCATTCTCCTCTCAGGATCTTGGGCACGCATGCACATGCGCCCGGCGTGAGTTTAAGTCACTGGGTCTGGGACTCGAACCGCCGTTGACTACATGGGAGTTCAGAGACATAGTCATTACGCTAACTACTGGTCCCATCATTTGATTTTTCAACAAGAGTGCTGTGATGGTTAATTTGGGGCATTAATTTGACTGGAAGGAAGGATGCCTGAAAGGCTGGTGGATGCTGAGTGTGTCTGCTACGTGTTGCCTGACCCGACAGCAGTGAGAGTCAGAGGACTCAGAGAGGAAGACCCACCTTCAATGTGGGTAAGCACCAGTCACTCAGCTCTGAGTGTGAGAACGGGGAACAGGAAGTGGAGCTGTGTCCTCTCCCTCTCTCCACCCTGCAGGTCTGCCTGCTCCACCACTGCTCCTGCTCCTCCACTTGACCTCTGGCTGCCATTGTTCCTGCTAGTTCCTGGCCTCTGTGCCCCTTAGCCAGCCAGACTCCGAGTTTTCCAACCTTTGGACTCTGTATCCTACCAGCAAGCCACCAGAGAGTGCTCAGGCCCAACCCTCTCCACGGCCCCCTTCAGGCCTAAGACTGGAACTGCACCAGGTTCCCCTATCAGAGACTGGAACCGATTCTTGAGTTGGCAAAATGGGGACTTCTCTGCTTTGTAATTGTGTGAGATAATCCCTATATTGTTGTGTGAATATCGTGAAGAGTGTTTCTTGGGGCCAGAAGGTAACATGGCGGTTGGGGTGCTTGACTCCCACATGGCCAACTGCTGTTCGAGTCCCAGACCTGATGGCTTGCTTTCTCACTTTCCCCCTTCCTCTTTTTTTTTCTCTCTCTCTCTCTGGTGAGCACATGTGCCCTATAGCAAATTAAAACAATAGTCAATAAATAATTTTACATACTTTCTCTTTCATGAAAAAAATAAATAAGAAAAATGGTCCATGTTTTAATTGCCTTATTCCTTTTTCTTTTCGATTTGTCAGACTTCTCTAGATTGTATGCATTCGAGTCTTTTGTTAGTGGATGCTGCAACTCTCATTCTCTGGATGGTCTATTTTCTCAACAGTTTCTTTTGGGGAATAAAAGTTCTTTCATCAAATAGATCAATTTTTGCCATTACAGTTAACGCTTCTGTAGCTTGATGAAGATTCTCTACCCTGGAGACATGAAGAAATTCTCTTACGCTGTTTCCCAATAGCTTTGACAATTTTGTTTTTCATATATATGTCAGCAGTCAACTCCGGTTGGTAGGGTATTAGGTAGGAGCTCTATTTCATTTTTTTTTCCAAGGTAGATACCGAATAGTTCCAGGGCCAAGTGTCTATTGAAAAGAGTATCATATCTTCACTGCTTTGCAGTGCCATGTCTCCTCAAATCAAGTTTACATCTATGGGAGGGTCTGTTTTGGGGTTCTCAGTTTCATGCCAATGGTCTCTGCTTACCCTACACAAATACCATTCTATCGTAATCACATAGCTTTATAATTTTTGATAAGAATCTGATAAGGCAAGTCCTTCCCACCATTAGTCTAGTTTTTCTTTAAGAGTATTTTTGCTCTCTTACTATTTCAAATAAATTTTACGATATGTCTTGGGGTCAGCAGGTGGCGTAGTGGTGAAAACACTGGACTCCCACGTGGCCCCCTGCAGTTTGAGTCCTGTATCCGGTGGTTTGAAGCTTACGCTGTGTGTGTATGTGTGTGGTCAAAATCCTGAGAGGAGAATGGAGGAGAAGGGATTGCAGCGTGGCCATCGCCCCTGGTGGGTGATTTCTCCCTTTCTGTCTGTCTCTCTCTATCTTTCTGGCAAGTGCACGCACTCTACAGCAAAAATAAAAAATAAGAAAAAATAAAAAAAAAACCTCTCCAAAAAATAAAATAATAATAAAAAAAAGATCTCATTTTATTTTATTATTTTATTTTACCAGAGAGGAACAGAGTGAGAGAAAAAGCCACCAGGTCTGGGATTCAAACCATGGTCAGCCATGTGGGAGTTCAGCACCCTTAGCTACCATGCCACCTGCCAGCCCTGTCTATTAGCTATTTTCTATGATACTGATTTATGCTCTTTTCCTTATTATTTTCTTCTTCCTATTTTTTCTAGGTTTATTTTTCTATCTTTTTCAGATAAATGCTTGGCTAATTAATTTGCAGTCTTTCTTCTTTTCTAATGTATACATTTATATATGTATATATATTTATGTGTTTGTATTTATATATTTAAGAGTATTATACTAAATACTCCTTTGCACAGTATATTTTATAAAATTTTAATATGTGTTTTTGTTAGCCTTCTGTTCAAAATTCCATTTTGATTAAATTAACTTTTATTCTTTTTTTTTTTTTTTTTTTTGCGCGGGTGTTGCTGTGCTCACCACAAAGACAGAGAAGGAAAGACAGAAAGCGAGAAATCACCACCCCCACCCCGCCCCCCCCAGGGGAGATGGCCATGCCACAATCCCTTCTCCTCCATTCTCCTCTTGGGATCTTGAGCACACATGCACACGCGCCTGGTGTGAGTTTAAGCCACCTGTTCCGGGACTCGAACCACAGTCAACTACATGGGAGTCTAGCAACATAGCCATTATGCCAACTGCTGGTCCCAATTAACTTTTAACATAACTAAACTAAAGTCAGATAATGTACTTTCTGTGATTATAATCCTTTTAAAATGGATGAACTTTGGGCCAGCAGGTAGTATGGAGATTAAGGTGCTAGATCCCACATGGCCAACTCTGTTTTCAAGTCCCAGACCTGACAACTTGAAAAATCATACTGGGAGTGTATGCTTGTATGCCCAAAGATGTAAGAGAAGAATGGAGAAACAGGGATTGCAGAGTGGCCATCCTCCCGGGGGGATTTCTCACTTTCTGTTTCTGCACATGTCTTAATAGCAAAAACTAAAAAAAAAAAAAAAAAAAGGTTTAACTTGTTCCCAGCACATTGTCAAATTTTGAAACTATTCTTTATGCTCTTGAAAGCCCTTAAAGGCAGATTCTGCAGTAGTAAGGTGTAGTGTTTGATGTGTTTCCAATAGGTCAAGTATGTTAACCATGACATTCACATCTAAGTCCTTACTGATTTTTTTTTAATTTATTTTTCTGGTTTTCATCACTAGGTGTGTGCACTTGCCAGACAGAGACAGAGAGGAAGGAAAAATGAGAAATCACCCCTAGGCGGGATGGCCATGCCACAATCCTCTCTCCTCCATTCTCTTGGGATTCTGAGCATGCATGCACATGAACCTTGAGTGTTTTTCAGACCACCGGGTCAGGGACTTGAACCGTAGTTGGCTCTGTAGAAATCCAGTGCCTTAACGACTACAGCATCTATTAGCCCCTTTATTGATTGATTTTTTTTTGGTCTATTTTTTTAAAAGAATTATTTAATTTTATTTATTCATTCATTTATTTTAATTTGACCAGAGAGAGTGGGAGAGTGAGAAAGCAAGCCACTAGGTCTGAGACTCGAACCACAGTTGGCCATGTGGGAGCATCCAGTGCCTTAACCACCACGCCACCTGCTGGTCCCAGTCCATTTGTTTTATAGTTAAAGAGAGATTTGTATTAAAATCTTCAACGATGATTATGGATTTGTCTACTTATCTTTGAGTTCTGTCAACGTTTGTTCTGTATATTTAAACGTATCTATAGTTAAAGCTGTTTTACTTCCTAATGAGTTGAACCCATTTTCATTATGAAATATTCCTGATTGTTTGAGATAAAATGTTGTTGCCTTAGTGTGTCTCTTGCCTGGTACCACAGAGCATTCTCGGTTCACACTGGACCCGTCTCTTTTATAGCGCAGCTACCCCTTCAAAAAAAGTGGGATGGTCAGGCTGCAGTCCTCTCTCTTCCATCTTCCTCTCAGGATTTTGAGCGTACACACACACACACACACACACACGCCTGGTACATTTCACAAGTCACTGGGCTTGACTGTGCTGTTGGCCGCGTGGACTCCGGCCGGCAGCCTTGACCACGTTACCAACTGACCCTTGATGTTTCATTTTGCTTTAAAATCTGCCTGTTTTATGTACTGCAGTCTCCTTTTTGTGATTCTAGGGGTACGTTACTGAGTGAGTTATGGAAATTGCTTGGTTCCTGAAAGTGTATGTGGGGGAGTCCCTGCTCCTCTAACTGGTTAGTTGGTCGGTCACGGAGCTCTGACACAGCTCTGACCCCAGACACCAAACTTACTATTTTAGTCTTAGGCCGATGCTGCTGCAAACTGCTGCTTAACCCCAAGGAGGCAGGGTGAGAAGCCAGTCTTCCTAGGGAGCATAAATGCAGTTCTCAAGTGACTCTTCCGGTCCACACCCAGGACCACGCTGTGACTTCCGGCCCACACCCGGGACCACGCTGTGACTTCTATACGCTGACTCAATCCTTGATCCTGTGCCATTTCTTCCTCAGCGCTGTTTCAGGTTAGCTTTTTATTTTTCTATGTGTCTCAAGACCTAATTCTTTTTGTCTTTGTTTTTCAAGAATTCCTCAATTTATGCTACTTTCCAACCTTTTCCGGTGATGATGTGTTTTTGTTTTCATACCGTTATAGGCATTTTCTCTCATTTCATGAGGTGATGGAGGAATGGGTCTAAGTAGACCAGTGTGACGACATTTCTATACAATGGCTAATGCCTTGGTTTTTAGGATTGATAATATATGTTTTGACATGTCAATATTGTTGCTGTTTGGAGCATCTGCACTATTACCTACCTTTAAACTCTTCACATCCTCCTCTACATATTCTTCAAAATGCATTAAATAAAAAGGCTTAAATGTGTCTTCAATGTCTATATGAAAAAAAAAATAGCACTTTAAGTTTCTGAAGTATTTTCTAAAAGAAAATGAAAATGGTAGCAATCTATGTCTTTGCGTTACTTACCTTAATCAGTAGTCAACGGTAAAATAAAAATTTAAACTACAATAAAGGGACTAATAAGACTCGTAATGGCCAGGTAGACAGAACAAGGGCAGGATGACACTGGAAACCGGGACTCCCGCCTGACAGCACGTGGTTCTCCAGCTCCACACAACGCCCTACTCAGTGTGAGTTCATCCCCAGTCAACAAAGAGGGGTGAGCTCCATGGCTCTTTTGGCATCGGATTTATGATAGGATGGGATACTCATGGTGTGGGCTGGCTCCACAGCACAGTAGTAATGCCCTGTGCAGGAGAAGCCAGATACCACGTGGCAACTGGTTGATATCCCCATGCTGAAACCACCAGGCCTGTGCCCGAGTGCTCGGGATCCAACGGGTGGGAGGATTGAAGAAAGGGGACTACAGTGTGACCGGACCCTTCAGAAGGTGCTCCCCTCCCCACTCCCTCCTCTTCTCTCTCTCATGTGCACACGCACACACTCTATGACAGAGAAACAAAATAAAATCAGCATACGGGTAAAGGGCTAGAACTCAGCCTTAAAAGCAAAAGGAAGGCTTTTCCAGAGCAGTGATTAAGTACTACATATAGGGAGCCAGACCCTACATGGCCGACTCCATGTTGAGTTTTAGCCCTGGCAGCTTATAAATATCTATGCAGGGACCAGCAGTTAGCGTAACAGCTATGTTGCTGGACTCCCACGTAGTCGAACGCGGTTTGCGTCCCGGATCCAGTGGCTTAAAACTCATGCTGGGCGCGTGTGTATGCGTGCCCAAGATTCCGAGAGGAAAATGGAGGAGAAGGGATTGCGGCGTGGTCATCCCTCCTGGGTGGTGATTTCTTGCTTTCTGTCTCTCTGTCTGTTTCTGTCTGTCTGGCGAGCGCACACACCCTATAGCAAAAACCTCACCAAAAAGAAAAAATATATATCTATGCGGGGGTGGGGGCGGCAGGTGGCATGGTGGTTAAGGGCTCTGATCGCCCACATGGCCGACTGTGGTTCGAGTCCTGGACCTGGTGGCTTGCTTTCTCACTTTCTTTCTCCCTTTCTCAAACTGCGGTTGACTACATGGGAGTTCAGCGACATAGCCATTATGCCAACTGCTGGTTCCCACTGTGTCTATTTTAATACAACAAAAAAAGTAAATTACAAAAGAAGAAAAGAAACAAGAAGGCCCTCATGTCACTTCATGCTTTTGGGAGAGATGCCATCCGTTCATTAAACAAAATACTTGAAATCAATCTGAAACCACAAATGGAACTTGGTTTCCAGAAGACTCCAACCAAATTCCTGACAACAAATCTTACTAGGATAACTGCCACATAAGACGCATCCTGCGCAGTCATGAAAGATGTTCTTACCAGGAAACGTTGGCCGGGTCCCTGGGTCTGCGTCCCAGCAGTGCCGCATGAGGTGGATGATCTCCCTGGGACAGTACTCGAGGATGTCATCTGCACTCGGCCTGTTTCCGTTTAACACACACATTCTGAACTGGTCCTCGGAGATAGCATCTAGAAAGCAGAGAGCAGGCTGAGATTTTCTTTCGAGTCCTGCTTCTCTCTCTTGCGAGAAGATGACAAGACTTGGACAATACTGCAAGGATGTCACTGCCCCAAGTACGCCTTCAGGATAGCTATCTGCCACGGCGGAACGGCCCAGTGACAAAAGCCAAGACACTGCACTGTAGAAATATCAAACATCGGGGCCGGCAAGTGGCGTGATGGTTAAGGGCACTGGACTCCCACACGGTCAACTGTGGTTTGATTCCCAGGCCTAGAGGCTTGTTTTTTTCTCTCTCTCTCTCACTCTGTCCTTCTGATCAAATTGAAATACATAAATAAATAAAGTTAAATAAAATAATTCTTAAAAAAACAAAAGGAAAGAAATATCAAACACCATTTAATTCCTGTAGAGGCAAGACAAAATTCCCAACGAAACTACCTGCTGGTAGAATGAATTGATTGCGTGAGTAAAGACAAATGGCATTCCTTAGATTTTAATACAAAAGCAAACATGGTATACCTTTGCCTTTAAGGGGCTCAGGTTTTTTGTTTTGTTTTGTTTTGGTTTTTTTTGAGAGGTTTTTGCTATAGAGCGCGTGCACTTGCCAGAAAGACAGAGACAGAGAGACAGAAAGAGAAAAACCACCCCCCGGGGGGATGGCCACGCTGCAATCCCTTCTCCTCCATTCTCCTCTTGGGATCTTGGGCACACACGCACACGCACCCGGCATGAGTTTAAGCCACCGGGTCCGAGACTCACACCACGGTCGGCTACATGAGAGTCCAGTGACATAGCCATTATGCTAACTGCTGGTCCCGGGGCTCAGTTTAATAAGAGTGATCTAAACACCAAGTAGTAACTGGTATTAAGATATACGGTAGGTTTTAGTAACACAGCCATAATTAGCACAGAGGGTCTGAGAAAGCCTGTTGACTCCAAAAAAACAAACAAGCTATCCAGGTAAAGAACGAAGGAGGAGGACTCAGGGAGGAGGATTCCAGACTAGGGAACCAGAACGGGAACAGATGGAAGTTACGGAAATCGTGATGCATCCTGGAAACCACCAGCTCCATAGAACTGAGTATGTTGCCAAAGGAGGGGGAGCTAAGGCATAGGCTGGAGAGGCCAGATAATAAGGGGCCTTGTATTCCACTGTGGAGAACTGGCACTTTATCTTGAAGGTCATGGGGCATCTCAGAAGGATTTTAAATAGGTAAGTGAGATGGTCGCATCTGCTTTCCACGGTGACCGCTCTGGCAGCCGTGTGAATGGCGGGACAGCACAAGGAGCCCTGAGCGGAGACAAGTCGTGTTTGAGCTAAATCGGGGCTAGTGGGGATGGAGAGAGCGGAGAGATTGAAGATCCATCTTGAGTTAAGCAGAGAACTGAATTTGCAGGTTTAGAGGTCTGACTGGATGTGGAGATGAAAGGGCCAAGTGGAGTCAGGGATGACCCAGAGGCTCCTGGCTGGGTCTCTCCCTAGAAAGATGGAGATGCCATTGTCTGAACACACCAAGAGAAGTGGCGGGGAGAGCACTTCCAAGATGACTTTGGGGAAGTGTTGCTGTGGAAGTTCCACGGGGACAGGAATGGATCTGACTAACAGGCAGTGGACACCCCTGCCAGTGCCCAAGGAAGGGATGGAAGAGGTACCATTAAAACATGGAAGTTAATAGTCACCCAAACAGAACGTGCAGGGAAATACCTGCTAGTTAACACACTTAACACAATGAAGAGTACCGACTGATGTCTCTGTTTTCCTATATGAACCATGACTTAGTACTCTTTAGTCCTGTGCCAAATGGAAGTGCCCATAATAGTTACTGACAAAAATGGGACCAGCAGTTGGCATAATGGCTATGTTGCTGGACTCCCATGTAGTCGACCACGGTTCGAGTCCCAGACCCGTGGCTTAGACTCACGCCAGATGCATGTGCGTGTGTGCCCAAGATCTCAAGAGGAGAATGGAGGAGAAGGGACTGCGGTGTTCCTCCCTGGAGGGTGATTTCTTGCTTTCTGTCTCTCTCCATCTTTCTGGTGAGCACACACGACCTATAGCAAAAACCTCTTTAAAAACAACAACAACAACAAAAATAAGAGTAACAACTCTTAAATGAAGAAGTGAATACATGAAAGTATGAAGTACATGGCTTGCAGCATGAAAGCCTAAGTCCTCATATGCAAAAACAAGCAAACCTTCCTGCCCAGGAAGAACCCTGGAATTTTAGAGTACCTCCCAAGCTTAGGTGCATTATCAAGGCTTTCCTTTATCAAGGAATTCATCCTACGATGTCTAATTCCTAAACTGGGGTTCCTCATTCGTTCAACAAAAAATTACTGGGCACTTACTATATTCCAGTCCTGTGTGTCGAGCTGCTGGGGAAATGGCACTGAATACATCAGACGCGAGGTGATCCCAGCTCTCACGGAACTTACGGCCCAGTGGATAAGACTGCCATTCAATGAACTAGAAATCGTACTGATTGCTGAAGGCTATTCTTTCATAAACAATGCTGACTAGTCTCAAAATCCCACTGCTCTGCAAACGTCTTACTTTCATATGGCTCCTTATTTGCAAAGATTGCCCAGAGTACTATGGCAAAACTGTACACGTCTGACTTCTCCGTGGGCTTGGCGTTTATGTCTTTCAGGTGTTCAGGAGCCATGTAGTAGAGGGTGCCGCCATTTTTCATAGAAGGGCCATTCACTTTCCTCTGCTCATTGTGTTCCTCTTTAGTCAATTTGCTCCACGTCTTAAAGGAAGCAACGCCAAGGTCAGCTATCTGCAAAAGAGATCACACCAATGAGACTGTTCCAGGAGGGTTATAAGCCAATCAGATTTGGCTTGAAATTTGGGGCTTATACCATATATGTGATGTACAGTGGACTGCCCCTAAACCTTGCACTGGGCAGGTTTAAAACAACTACTTCCCGGGACCAGTAGGTGGTGTGGTGGTTAAGGTGCTGGACACTCCCACATGGCTGACCATGGTTCGAGTCCCGGACCTGGTGGCTTGCTTTTTCACTCTCTCTCTCCCTGGTCAAATTAAAATAAACGAGTGAATAAATAAAATTAAATAAATAAATCTTAAAAAAAAATAAAATAACTACTTCCAAACAGACTCAGAGACTTTGTACTTCCTCAGTCATCTGCAAAACCTCCCCCCAGGAATCTGTTCACGTGAGAGTCTAGTTTCATAATTCTCATGCAATAAGAGAGAGAGAAAAGCAGAAGGCATTTCTGACATGAACAACCACACGATATGTTTTAATTCTTCTCGTACTCTGTGTATGTTTTTCGACTCTTTCCAGGGAGAGGAGCTAACAAGGTCTTCCTTAGCAGGTTTACATAGCAGGTGGTAACTACTACTGCACCTTCCACTTCCCACACGGTGTCCAGAGGCCCCAGGGGTGCGTGTTTCCAAGGATCCCAAAGACACACTGAAAAGGACTGTCCTGCTGCTTCTTTTGAGTTGGTAGCCTGAACCTAAGAGGAGTTGGGATGGGAAGGAGGAGAAAAACGGACAAAAAAAGCAGAGAGAAAAATACTAAGGTCAGACACAGAATGAAGAGGGAGGTGGTGGGGCAAAATGGCAGAACAATACAGTCAAGGAGAAATCTAACGGGAGTCACGTGCCACTTCTAGGAATCCAAGCAAGCACTGGAGATGAATGTGGGCATGCGATTAACTAACATTCACAGATCTGAACCTAGAATCTCAGAGATAAGTTACCACTCAAAGAAAGAATGCCTTTTTTTTTTTTTAAGAGGTTTTTGCTATGGGCGCATGCACTCGCCAGAAAGACAGAGAGAGACAGAGAGACAGAAAATGAGAAATCACCCCCCAGGGAGGATGGCTACGCTGCAGTCCCTTCTCCTCCATTCTCCTCTCGGGATCTTGGGCACACATGCACATGCGCCCAACATGAGTTTAAGCCACTGGGTCTGGGACTCGAACCGCAGTCGACTACATGGAAGTCCAGGGACATAGCCATTATGCTAACTGCTGGTCCCAAGAAAAAATGTTTTCTGAAGACCTAACAAAAGTCTGTTCAAGATTATAACAGAAGGAATAAGTGGAATCTTCTGATGGAGAGGGACCACTGTGAGCGGTCCCTGAGTATTCCCTAACCCACTTCCCTTCCAGATTCTT